TGGGGTAATCAGGATGAGTTTGTCAGAGGCAGTGCCATTGGCACAGGATAGATAAGGGTTTAGGTCTGTTGTACACAGGGTTACTATGAGTCGCAAGCGACTTGATGGCACATAACAACACAACAACAAAGTTCAAATTGAAGCTAAAGAAAATTAAAAGAAGTCCTCAAGAATTAAAATATGAATTGAGTCTATTCCACCTGAATTTAGTAATCATCTTGCCTGGTAAACAGAAAATGGGACCAGAAGTGTCCCTCTGAAAGAGCCAGAGGGAATGAGAATAGCACAGCTGCTCAATGCCGTAGAGCAGAAAGCAAATAAAGAACCCAGCCCCGTGGTGCCTCAAGAGCCACACCAGTAGCAAGGAGTTTGTTTATTCATTGTTGATTCACAGGCTCAACAGATACAATGCTGAGAATGCAGTTTATTAGGAAAGTAAGTTGGAGAGTGAGGGAGGAAAAGAATATCTTACAAAGTAAGTCTAGTTTTAGTAAAAGTCCTGATCAGTTCAGCAACATAAATTCAAGAAGCCATCCAGCAAGGTTTGCCTCCTAACATTTGTCAGTCACCTTTTTCAAACATCCAAAAGCCCCAGGTCACACCTTGCAACAGTTTCTCCAAAGGAATGCCACAGTCTCTCCACCACCATCACCAAGGTCTTGCCAATAGGATCTTGCTCCATTCTCCCTCAAGTCTTGATCATCTCAAGTCTTGCTGCTCAGTGTGGGAAGCACTCTCTCACTTATCCTAGTCCCATAAATGTTGATGATTCACGAGACCATGTGTCTGCAGTTGAGGCAGCTGGAGAACAAAGGGGACTAACTGTAATGGGGGGAGGGGGTGAAGCCAACGTTTAGGCTAACATAGCGCATCTTAAGAATAGGTTTGAAGCATTGAACACCAATGATCAAAAACCAGATGACTTATGAGAGAATATTGAGGATATCATTCATTAAGAGAACAAAACATCGCTAAAAAGACACAGGAAAAAGAAAAAACCAAAATGAGTATTAAAAGAGATCCTGAAACCTGAACTAGAGCACTGAGAAATCAAAACAAAGGGAAGATGCTGAAACAAGAGTTGAACAGAAGATTTCAAAAGGCAGTTTGGGAAGATAAGGCAAAACAATAAAGTGTACAGAGACCTATAATTGTAGAATAAAAGGAAAGAATTCACTCAGCATTCCTCAAGCTGAAAAACTGAAAAACAAATTCAAGCCACAAGTTGCAATTCTTAGGGATGCTATGGGCAAAATGTTGAATGATCGAGGAAACATCAAAAAAGATGGAGGAAATACACAGAGTCATTGTCTTAAAAAAAATAAAATTAGATGACACTGAAATATTTCAGGAAATACCATATGGTGATAAAGGAAGAAATTCAAACTACACTAAAGACATTTCAGTCTATGCCAGGAAATTTGGAGCACAGCTGCCTGGCCTATGGGCTAGAGGAAATCGCCATGTTTGTTCCCATTCCTAAGAAAGGTTATGTAACAAAATGTGGAAATTATCAAACACTATTATTAATATCCCATACAAGCAAAAATACTGCTGAGAATCATTCAAAAACAGCTAAAAGAGTACATAGGCAAAAAACTGCCAGATGTTCAAGCTAGCACCAGAATATCATTGCTGATGTCAGATGGATCCTGGTGGAAAGGAAAAAATACCAGAAGAATGTCTATTTGTGCTTTAATGACTATGCAAAGTCATTTAACTGTGTGGATCATAACAAATTATGGCTAGCATTGAGAAGAATGGGAATTCCAGAACACTTAATTGTGCTCCTGTGACAGCTCTACCTACAACAAGATGCTGTTGTGTGAACAGAGCAGCAACATGGTTTAAAATTATGAAAGGTGTGTGTCAGAGTTGTATCCTTTCTCCATACCTATTTAATCTGTATGCTGATCACAATATTCAAGAAGCTCTACTCTATGAAGAAGAATGTAGCAGCAGAATTCGAGACTCATCAATAACTTTTGTTATTCTGATGACACAACCTTGCTCGCTTAAAGTGAGGAAAACTTGAAGCACTTGTTACAGAACATTAAAGAGTATAGCATTCAATATTAATTGCATCTCAATGATGAGAAAACCAAAATTCTCACCACTAGACCAATGGGCAACATCATGATAGATGGAGAAAAGATTGAAACTGTCAATAACTTCATCTTACTTGGATTCACAATCAATACAATTGGCACTAGCAGTCAGGTTATAAGGAGACTGTTGAGGCAGTGATGCCAGTTTGATGATTAAGATTCAGGCCATGGTCTTTTGAGTCACTGACTATGCATCTGAGAGTTGGACAGTGACTAAGAATGATAGAAGAGTTGATGTCTTTGAATTGTAGTGTTGGAGAAGCATGCTGAATATCCCATAGACTGCCAAAAAAACCAGCTATGTCTTGGAGAAGGTACAGCCAGAATGCTCTTTGAAGGCAAAGATGATGAAGCTTCGTCTTACATACTTTGGGCATGTTGCTAAGAGAGGCTTTTCATTGGAGCATGACATCATGCTCAGGAAGGTGGAGGGATAGCATATGAGAGGAAGACCCTCAACCAGGTGGATTGATATAGTGACTGCAGCAATGGGCTTGAGGGTGTCAGAGGTTGTGAGGCTGGCACAGGAGAGGACAGCAGGACTCAGATCTTGTTGTTCATAGAGGGGTTTTTTTTTGTTGTTGTTTTTAATTTTTATTTTGTTATTTTATTTTAATAATTTCAATGAACATTTACAGAGATTTTGGATTTCCATTCATTCATTGCTGCACTTCTCTGCCCCCCGCCCCCCCCCCAGTTTGCTTCTCTCTTTGAAAATAATAGAAAAACTCCCTCCCTGGTACACAATCCCCCCGCAGCCCTTTCACTGCCGCAAGTACATTCCACTAGTTAACTGCACCTAAGAACAGCAAAACATATGCATATATGTGTAAGGGAGCCCCGGTTGTCTAGTGGATAAGGAGCTGTACTGCCAGCCCAACAGTACAAGGTTCAAATCCACCAGCTATTCTGTGGGTAAAAGATGAATAGTCCCTTGCCATGTAGTTTAAAACCTCTCAAAGCCCACTGAAAGGTCTAGTTATGAGTCACTTCTGACTCCAAAGAGCAAAGTATGTAGGCAAGACACACTCAGCTGTCCTATATTCCTAAGTAACAAGGAGGCCCTTAGGAAACAGGGACCAGTCACTAAGAGTAATGCATTCATGTACTTTCGACCAGATCCTGACCACACCAGATGCTCTCAGATTGTTGCTGTTGTTATTGTTTTATACCTTTGAGTTGGAATCAACTCATAGTTGACCCTCCAGTGGGTTCTCAGAGACAGTAAACTGCATGGGAGGAGAATACTCCTCTTTCTTAGTAGAGCTGGTTGATTAGAACTATGTACCTTCTTTTTTTTTTTTCTCCATAAAATGTATAACACCGACACCAGTGAGTCATTTCCAAGTCATAGCAACCTTCTACTGGTTTCTGTTGCTTTCCTTCTTTAAAGAAAGAGACTGCTCAACTGCAAACTGTTGAACCTTTCAATTCATAGCCTACCATGTTACACAATATGTCACTGCTGTTGTTGTTTTTGTTATGTTCCATCAAGTTGCTTACCACTCATAGCAACCCTTTGTACAACAGCTCTGAACCCTGCTGTATCCTGAGCTAACCTTATAGTTTCCCACACGCCTACCCAGGAGAACAAACAGGTTCATCCTGGAGAGGGTGAAACCAGGCTACTCCTTGGAGGCAAGGATTTTGACGCTCTGTCTGACATACGTTGGGTTTGTTGCAAGGAGGGATTAGTTCTTGGACAGGGACTAACTATGTCACTAGGGTTCCTTATATATAACACAGCACTTGCCAATCCATGCTTTTCCTTGTATACACTTAATGATACCAGTTACATTAATCATATGCACTACCATCACCCATAATCACCAAATTTGTCATCACTATAAACAAAAACTGCCTTTAAAAAAAAGAAATACTAAAAAAGTATTTCTGCTATGTGCTAGGTGCATTACACTTAGTTATTATTAAATAATCGGTTTATTCTCATTATATCAGTTTGAAAACTAAAGCTCATGGTTGCTAAAAAAACATGCTTTCTCTTTTTGATTCTTCATCTTATGGTTTCATATGGTTCCTTCTGAAGGTCTCAGTTTTCAAATGTCACTACCTAAGAGACCTTACATCACAGTCCTTAATAAAGTAGATCTCTGTAGACTATGCCAACAGAACTATTAACACGTGTAGTGCTCCATTAAAGAAATAACCTAATTGTTGTTACATGCCTTTGGGTAGACTACAAATCATAGAAATTCTGAACAACCAACTGGAACCTTGCCCTGTTCTGTGCCATCCTCAGAATCTCTGACATGTTCAAGCCCATTGTTACAGACACTGTGTCAGTCCAGCTCATTGAAGGTTTTCTTCCAGATCTTAAAAAAAAGAAAAAGGAGATAAGGAAACGGTCATTAGGTGCAGTTGAGACAGTACTGACTCAGCAACCCTGTGTGTAACAGGACAAAACTTTCACCAGTCCTGCATCATCCTCACGGTCTCTGTTGCAGAGTCTGTGTCCATTCATGTCATTAAAGGTCTTCCTTTCTTCTGCTGACTGTTGGCATTTCCAAGTATAGTGTTCTTCTTCACACTCTGGCCCCTCCTGACAAACAACATGCCCAAAGTCTTTCCTTCTAAAAAGCACCCTGGTTGCACTTTCTCCAGTCTATGGTAGATGCAGTTTTCTTCAATAACACCGTAATTCAAAGGCATCCTTTGGTCTTCCTTATTTGTTGTCAACTTTCACAAGCCTATGAAACAATTAAACTATTTTGGCCTGGGTCAGATACACCTAAGTCTTTAGCATGACATCCTACTCTAGCATTTTTAAGTGTTCCTTTGCAGCAGAAAATATGAAGATAGGCAAACTAGAGTACTGAAAATGGAATAATCAGAATACATTTAGAGAATGTTGACATGTTCTGAGAAATATTACTAATTCCAAATGGGAACCTAATTTGTGAGCAAATTTCCACCAAATACAATAAAAACATTATTATAAAATGAATATACAATATTTTATGTCACAAAGTTATTTTGCCTCACACCATTTAAACTACTTACAACAGCATTTTTCAGCAACTGAATTACCAAATCATTGCTAGGATTTTAAGCTTATTTACCTTGACTCCTTCACATGTAAAGCATTTGCGATTACTACTGAATTACTGCTTGTTTGAATAAAAGTAACTATGTTTTTTGCTTACAGAATCTTCAAGAATTAAAGCCACTGGATCAGTGTCTAATTGGACAAACAAAGGAAAACAGACGGAAGAACAGATATAAAAATATACTTCCTTGTAAGTACTAATTTGGCTTCCAATTGAATATGTGCTCAATATACTTGTAACATTGGTAAAGTGAGTAAATATAGAGTCATCTGGCTCCACGTTAAAAACATACCTCTGTTAAAATGTGCGTGAGCTCATCTGTAGTTCAGAGGAAGTTCTCATGATCTTTGACTTATCCTATTTGTAAGACTCTTATTTTTAAAAAATTGATGTAGATAACTTTTCTTTCGGGGGATTTTACAGATGACGCTACCAGAGTGCCTCTTGGAGATGAGGGTGGATATATCAACGCCAGCTTCATCAAGATCCCCGTGGGGAAAGAGGAGTTTGTTTACATTGCCTGTCAAGGGCCTCTCCCAACAACTGTTGGGGATTTCTGGCAGATGATTTGGGAACAAAAATCCACTGTGATAGCCATGATGACCCAGGAAGTGGAAGGAGAAAAAATCAAATGCCAGCGCTATTGGCCTAATATGCTAGGCAAGACAACGATGGTGAATGACAGGCTCCGGCTGGCTCTCGTCAGAATGCAGCAGCTCAAGGGCTTTGTCGTGAGAGCAATGACCCTGGAAGACATTCAGGTACGTGAGTTCTACCTTCCTGTTTACTCAGCCTGGAAGCCCTGACGCTGGACACCAGGCCAGGGACTCTCACCATGATTTCATCGGTGGATTTCTGCTTCTTTTTTTTTGTCAGAGACAATGGAACTAATGACACTATTTTTTTTTACATTTTTATTTAGTATAAATTTGAAATGTAACACCTTCTACTTCATAAATGCTGCTCACAAGTTTCCTCTATTATATAATATATATTAAATTATAACTTAGTATGATTGTCAATATCGCCCTTTAGTCAAAAATACCACAAAAATAACTCAGCAGCTACTGCTGAAACTTTTACATAAACACCGTAAAGCTGCTTAAAAACATGAAGGTATTTCCTCATAAGGCAACTATATTGGAATAGATAAACAGTTGTCATTCATGCAATTCCTGCTGCAGTCACGTAATCACTGAATAAGCTTACTGCCTTGAATTAGATGAGAGTATATCTTGACTATTTCCAACCCTCCTCCACCCAGTAAACATACTTCTGACTAGATATAAGTGATGTTGTTTCCTATAGCTTAATAAAAAACCAAAAAGTGATTTTACTTTCCTGGATATAAGGCCCATTAATTTAATTCTATAGGATTCATGATTTTTGATAAGTGATTTTACTTTGAATGAGAGATTGTACCTCATTCTCTACCAGGAGAATTGACACAGTGACTGTAGCAATGGGTTCAATGATATCAGAGGTCATCGGAACAGCTGGGGATAGGGCAGGGGAACATGGGGATAGTTGGTGTTTACAGACCCACTATAAGTAATGGTCGACTCCTGTAAGACACCTAACAACAGCTTCCATTTGCCCAGTACAATTGTTGTATCTTCCTCAAGTGATTTATTCATTTACTCAGTGCATGTTCGTTGAACTCAGATTCTGTTAGAGGCCGAAGTGAGTTGACACTTAACATAGCAAACAGAATCTCTGACCTAACGGAGCTTTACTTCGTTTCATATGAGAAAATGCTGCTGTTGATAAGTGCTGTGGGAAAAAGAAGTAAGAAAAGGCAGTTGATTAGGGGAGAGTGAGCAACAGGCTGTTGTTTCAAATGGGAGCTGGGGAAGGCCTGAGAAGATAGCCTCTGGGGAAAAATGCTGAGGTAGTTAAGGAGTGAACCAGGGAGGGTTCTTGTGGGGGTTTCAGTCAGAAGGAACAGGAAGTGGTAGGTCCCTGATGTTGAAATGTGCTGAGTGCACAAAGAGGCAGTTGTGGCTGGAGAGAAGTGCCCACAGGGAAGAGAAAGGGAGCTTGAGTCTGAAAGTTAATAGGACTGATTACACTGGGTTTATAGGCAACTGACATGACGCTAGCTTTTAGTTCAAATAGAAGAACACTTGAAGTGAGGCCAAGAAAAACTTTCTTATGATTTTGTCTTGAGAGTTTAAAAAAGAGAAATTTTTACCATTATTCAAAATGTGGATTTAACAACCGTGTTGGTAAATGTCCTATGTATGTTTCCTAATGAGATCTTTCTATCTCCTCTATTTTCAAAATCAGCAAGTTGGAATTTGAAAGGATAAAATAAGACTTAATTATATGTGAATGCTACACTGTACCTTTACCACTTATTCCGTTGTATAATTTCAGACAGGAGAAGTGCGGCATATTTCTCACCTGAATTTCACTGCTTGGCCAGACCACGATACCCCATCTCAGCCAGACGACCTGCTAACCTTCATCTCTTACATGAGGCACATTCATCACTCAGGCCCGATCATCACTCACTGCAGCGCGGGCATCGGACGCTCGGGGACCCTGATATGCATAGATGTGGTTCTGGGATTAATCAGTCAGGATCTTGATGTGAGTATGACACATACAGGCTGCACAAGCGTTTGGCCGGAGTGATCTTGGGAGGCAGGAATGGTGAGACTTCACTTCATATTCTTTAGACATGTTGCTAGGAGGAGCTATTCCTTGGGAAAGACATGATGCTAGGAAGGGTGGAGGGTTGGTGAAGGAGAGGAAGACTCTTGAGCAGGTGGTTTGACACAGTGGCTGCTGCAATGGGCTCTTTTGTGTCAGAAAGTGTGAGGATGGTGCAGGATAGAACAGGGTTCAGATCTTTTATTTGTAGGGTCCCTGTGAGTCGTCCTAGACTCAGTGGTGCCTAACAATAATAATACAATCCAGTTTTTTAATAATGTGTTGGAATCTTGGGTATTTTCCAGTTTGTGTGAATACCTTCATTATCTTACTGTGTAGAATTTAATAGGTGTTTAAAAGGGTAATAGGCAGTGTTATTCAAGACTATATAGATCATGTTGCTCTTACTATTGTTGTCGTGTGCCATTGAGTGGAAACGGACCCATAGCTGACTCTTCAGGAGCAGTAAAGCACACAGCAGATATTGCCAATCCTTCTTCCAGGAGATTCAAACTCTGTGCCTTTAGGATTACAGCACAGCTTCTTACCAGTAGGCTACCTACATAGATCATAATAAAGAAAAAGTCATACTTATAGATCAGTGATGATTAATTTTATAAATAAAATGTATTGTGTGGGTGATTGAAACACAAAGTAAATAAAGCAATGTGTGAATCAGTATACATGAATGATACACAATTATACAAATTTTATGTGCAAACTAATATAAAAAAATAAGGTAATATTTCAAACTTATATTTATTTTACTTTAATTTTTTAAAAAATCATATGAACAAAATCCCTTAATCAATATTCCATTTTAACATTACTAGGATTTCATAAAGTCAGTATTTTAAACAAAATTCTGTAGTGCATATCATACTCTATTATATATACTGTAACTTAATTACAAATACCAAATAACCTATTTCTCTTATTTTGAACTCCTTATTTAAATAACAGTTAAAATTAAAAGATAAAAACTTTTTCCCCTGATGACAAAGTTTAAGAGAAATGTTTTGGTTTGTTTTGCTTTGTAAAATTATTTTAATAGATTTGCTAGAATAATTCATTTGTACTGGGTTTCTTTTATGAAAATTGGGATTTTTGTGGTGTTTTTACATAATCAGTTTATTAATTGTAGATGTGTGTGTTTTTTTTTTATAAACTTAAACAATGACTATACACCTGAACCTTACTTGATGGACTACACAGCAAAATTGAGTACATCTGTAGAAAGTTTTGAGGGAGAAGTTCATTATCAAAATAAAGCCAGAGACTAATTGTGGAACAGACCACCAATTTCTCATGTGCAAGTTCAAGTTGAACATTGTATTTTATGCAATCTTTCATTTACATTGTATATGACTGTATAATCATTGTGAATGATTATGTAGTCATTTATACTCATTGTATTTTATACTGTTGACCTACAACTGTTATTACCCTGTCTTTTCAAGTCCCCTCTGAATCTTTCCTATTCCTTCAACTTCCCACTCCATCCTAATGTTTCCTCCCTTCCCCTTTTTTAATTCAGCTTTCCTGCTTTCCCTTTCCCATTCTGGGCATTTATAGACATCTTACTAGTTACCCTTCTATTATTACAATAATGGTCTTACTCAGTATTTATCCTTATGAGACTGAGTTAGTTCACTCAATTGTGCTCTCTAGCCTCTCCCATGTTATATAATATTTTATGAAATTTTTGCTCCTGAAAACTGCTGCGTGGTGATCCATTGTAAGAATATACCATGCTTTTTTTAATTGTATTATATACTAGTCAAATTTCAAAGACATGAGATCTGTTGAAGACTTTAATTAGAATAAACTTTCTGGTTCCTAGAAAATCATAAATAAGATCATAAAGTGTGAGTAAAGTAATGAATCAACTAATTGTATCCAGGACACTTTCCCAGGAGGACTAGTCAGAGAAGGAAAGTGGGGAACGGAATTCTTCATGAGCCGTTTGGGGTTCAAGTTTGATTACATTTTCTACATCACTGACGTTTTGTTTGTTTTGACAGTTTGATATCTCTGACCTAGTGCGCTGCATGAGACTGCAAAGACATGGAATGGTTCAAACAGAGGTGAGACTTGATGGGGACCTTCTACTGAGGATTTTCTAAAATATTAATGTTAAGTTTCTGTTACACATTGTGTTACAACAGATCTTTAATCCTCTCTCTGGAGGATTTCAGTGTTACCCCATTAACCTAACTACATTTATTGCAGTGAGGGGCATTTTTTTTTCCCTCAGGATGAGGGCTAAGTCAGAAAAATGTATATAATTCTAGACTATCTTTGAACAGTGTTTGTCTTTTTTTATGAAGAAATAGAGTATCTGCATTGAATAGATTACAGAGTCTGGGCATCATCTTGAGGGAAAAGCGGCCTGTATTACTATGTAATTAGTATGAGTCTATAAAAGAGATATACCAGGGGTGGCTAACTTAAAGTTGGCAGTTCATACCCACATACAAATGTCCTGAGAATGAACGGATTCACAGCTCTGACTGGAAAGCAGAGGGGCAGGCTGGGATTGCTCAGTCTGGAGAAGGCACTTGGGGACAGTAAGTGGTGGGGTTTGGGGAGTTCCCATTTTCTTCTCATTTGATGGTTTTTATTTCTCAACTAAAACTTGAGCAAATATGTGAAGGAAGTAGCCAACTGAAGCAGGAACCTTTTGGACAGAGCAGACCGTCTGCATGGACGTTCAACATGGGTGTACTCAAGGCTGGTCAAGATGGTGTGGCTGTGCTGGAGTGAGGGAGAAAAGGAGGTCAGAGGGGAGAGGAAGGGCCAGGAAGTGGGATGCCTCCATGTGAAGTGGGAGCCGACACAAGATTGTCGGCATGGAGTGATGTGGTCACATTCTAGGGGTAACTCCAGCTGCTGTGTTGAATGAAACCAATTTAAGGAGAGAGGGCAAGGTTGAAGGCAGGCAGGCCACTTAGATGGCAAGTGACAGAGATCCCAGACTAGAGTGCTAACTTTACACCCAGTAAGAAGAAGCCATTGTGTGGCGTGGGTTTGCTGATGGATTATATGTGATATAAAAGAGTAGTCAAAGATGTGGAAACATTAAAATATAAATGAGTAAAAAGGAAACAAAAAGATCATGTGTCCTTGCTCCTAGTGAACGGTTAGTGTTTTATAAAGTGTTCTTACATTCTTTATTCTATGCGCACATGTGTTGGTGTTCTTAGATTCATCATAAAATAAAAATTTTCCGTATTTTCAAAACTCCTCAAACATTGCTTCTGCTAGTGGTATGTTGTTGTTGTTGTTATTGTTATTGTTATTGTTAGGTATCATCAAGTTGGGTATGACTCATTGCCACCCTATGAATAGCCATTCTGAAACCTGCCCTGCCCTATGCCGTTCTCATTATCACAGAGACAACTGGGATCCATTGCTGAAGTTGCTGTCTCTTTGGGGGTCTTACTCTTTTTTGCTGACCCTCCTTTCCAAACATAATACCCCTTTCCCAGGAATAGCTTCTCCTAGCTACATGTCCAAAGTATGAAAGACAGAGGTTTGTCATCCTTGCCTCCAAGGAACACTCTGGCCACACCCTTTCCAGGATATTTCTGTTTGGTGTTTTGGCAGTCGACGGGATATTCAATACTCTTCCCCAGCACCACAACTCAAAGGCATCAGCTCTTCTGTCATCTTTACTCATTGTTCTGCTCTCTAATGCATGGCAGGTGATTGAGAAGAACGTGACCTGAATCAGGCACACCTTAGTTTTCAAACCGACATCATTGCTCCTCCGTATTTTAAACAGGTCCCTGACTACAGACTTGCCCATCGTTATATATCTCCTGATTCCCTGACTGCAGTATGTATAATCACTACGTATTAAAATCTTTTCTCCTTCCCACCCTACAGGACCAATATATTTTCTGCTATCAAGTTATCCTTTATGTTCTGACACGTCTTCAAGCTGAAGAAGAGCACAAAGAGCAGGAGCCACCTCGGAAATGACGTGAAAAGATCCGCCTTCTGGAAGCCTTTCCTTTCCTCTCCAAAACCTCCCAA